TCCGTCTAAGACATTTTTTTTTGAGACAGAGTCTCGCTTTGTTGGCCAGGTTAGAGTGAGTGGCGCGTGGCATCAGTCTAACTCACAGCAACCTCAAGACTCCTGGGCTCAAGCAATCTACTAGCCTCCAGCCTCCCGAGTAGCTGGGACTACGGGCATGAGCACCATGCTGGCTAATTTTTATATATATATTATTGGCCAATGAATTTCTTTTTATTTATAGTAGAGAGCGGGTCTTGTTCTTCCTCAGGCTGGTTTCGAACTCTCTGACCTTGAGCAATCCACTGCCTCGGCATCCCAGAGTGCTAGGATTACAGGCGTGAGCCACCGTACCCGGCCTCTAAGAAATTTTAATATCCCAGATATACCATATCTGTGTATGTATATCTATGTTTTATACATAAAGAGTAAGATTTTCTCATCCCCTCCCCCAAGAACCAATCTGTATACCCTTGAACACATGATATCAGTCCTGCTAGCCCAGGCGCTGTGAGCTGAGCCACCACTCATAGCCAGCAGATCACTACGGGAGGGAGTGGCCCAGTGTGGCAGCTCAGCTGGATTTTCAAAAGAATTAGGAAAATCTGGACTTCTTAGGTAAAAAAAATCTTCTGATTTCTAAATGTCCAGAACATAACTAAAGGCTTTAAAAAAAATAGTACAGCCAGAAAACCTACTCTAGGGATCGGAGCGTGGACAAATGCCAACGTGTAATCTCCGCTAAGCCCTGGAGACAACTGTGGTGGCACGTGTGAGACCCAGTCCTGCGCTGCCTGGGTGCGGCCCTCCCCTGGTTTCAGGGCCCTTTGGTGAGGCATAATGGGCTACCCTGCTGCGATGTTTTGGGACACTACTTTCTTCAGCTGTTACCCTCATGACGCTTGTGGTGGGTACTTACTTGGAGCGCACAGGAGACCTCAGTATGCGGTCAACGTACTCTCTGGCCTTGTCATGGCGGCCTACGAGCCAGAGGAAGAGGCTGGCATATAGTACAGGGCAGTTATCACTGGCTGTCCTGCGTAATTCCTTCAGGCTGCACTCTAGCTCCTGGATTGGCTTCTCGGTCTGTAAGTCCAAGAGGAGGAAGAAGGAGATTGAGTTAGGGTGCCCTGGTTTGCAGGGCGATCCAGGACCCAGGGAACACCTCTAGACACTGTGGGTCTCTCCCACACACTGTAGCCTGCTGCGTGCGCGCAGGGCCTGAAGACCAGCAGTACCTGCCCCTGAGATGCCAGGGGGCTGCACAGGGCTGGAGTCAGGTTTATTGTCTGAGACATATCTTTTCTTCTCTGTGCCCAGCAGTGTGCTGAGCAAACAGACATAAACTGAATTCGTTCTGCCTGCAGCCATAACTGCATGGCTGGGTGGGGATAATAGCAGTTTACAGGTCTTTCTGAGGAACCTTTTCCTGAACTCTGGAGAGGTGGAGATTAGGAGTAGAATTAATTGCTTGATTTTGCTGACGGGTCTTGAAAAGAAAAGAAGTGTCTCCCCAACTCTTGGGCATTGGGGAGACCTCTCCCGACTGTCATTTCTCTGCCTGCTCCACTCAAACCAGGCAGGACAAGTCATGGGGCTTTCTCTGATGGCCTCTAGGGGAGGGAGCAGCAGCCACTCCTTCTGGTCCAACAGCATCTGCAAAATGCACCAGTGCGATGGCACATGCTCTTTGGCAGCCCTTG